ATTCGGCCATTGGCAAGGCAACGCACCCCGCAAGCTGCTTCAGACAATCGTGGTACACAATTGACGCAGGATGGCCAATCACATCATCTTCTACCTCAACTTTCATCGCCTCTGGCAACGGCGTGTCTGGCCTTGCCGGATCACGGTTGAAGTCCACATCAAGAACCGATTCTTCTAAGGTGACTGTTGGCAGTGTTTCCAAACGTAGGTTCGTCGTCAGAGCACCTCCTGTTCTGTAGAATAAACAAGATACAGAAAAATGATAACAGCAATAACAACATCACTCACAGATAGTAAGGTAAGGTAGTGGTACAGAATATAGCTTACCGCACACAAACACGAGGCACATAATCAGAATCACTCTCGTCACTGTATGTGTCAATTTCCTTGGTCACATCTTCCTCCAACGATGAGACAGAGTCTTCCTCCATGTCAGGGTCCCAGGTGTCATCATCACCCCAGTCAGGGTCCCAGGTGTCATCATCACCCCAGTCAGGGTCCCAGGTGTCATCATCACCCCAGTCAGGGTCCCAGGTGTCATCATCACCCCAGTCAATTCTAAGTAGTAATGCACATTATTTAAAAGAGGTCTCGTTTTTTTTTCTTAGCTTTTATGTCCATACATTGTTTTGAGAACACCACTTACGTAGAATTTTGAATGTCATTGAACTGCTCCTCACTGACATCAGCATATGCGTCCAATGCAGAATGAACTAATCAGATAAATAAAGCAGAGGACAGAACATCATGAACTTGTGTGTAATTTACAGGGTTTCCTTTTGATATATTTCACAGAGTTGTGGCTGAAAAGTGTTTCACATGACATACCTAGTACCCGGCTGTTCATCATCACCCTCTTGTGTTCTGCTGTCCAAATTCTCTATCCCCTCAATGAACGGATCATCTCTGTGAAACATATAACAGATGGAGAAACAGCATAGAATCAGGCCAATACAATTTCCCTGACAATAAATCTCTTTTACAACTGTTTCTTCCTAGACACAAGGTGCGCAGTACATTTACAATGTGTTAATATGGGTTGTTGTCAAAAAAAGAAAGCAAGTCGTGGAAACTGTACAACAGGGACATTGCAGGAAGTGTACATACTGGTACAGCAAAAAGATAACAAGTACCATGTTATCATTTACTCTCAGAGAGACTTCATCTATATGTGGATCAATTCCGTATTTGGAGACTCTAATATCAGGTGGTACAGTACAACCACAGCTAATCGCAATAATTTTTGTTTTAAAAACTTGTGCATTAATCAGTATTTAAAGTACTGGAATTACTGATAAGCCTCCAACATCAAACTAATTAAATCCATAAAATAGTGGCATTAGCATCGATTGTTCCCCGACATCACATTACATTTACCCTGACCCGTGCAACCACGAAAACATCAGTGATGATCACATTACACAACAAAACGTAAAAAATTAAAGTTTGTCAAGGGAATAAATAATCGTTTTTCAAAATCTAAAGTAGTTTTACTTACTCGTCTGAGTGTACACGGGATTCGGGACCGATGTTCGACAGAGAAGGGGNGTGATGTCTTCTGGAGCATGTTTTTACCATACTGATTGAAAACCTCCTCACGAGCCCATTGCGCCAACTGAGATAGAATGTTTGGAAAAAAAACGAAATCTTTTAGTCCAGTGTAGAGGGCGTAGTCAGAGGAAAACGCAAACCAATAGAAGTAGGGATGATAGTTACTTCTATTGGTTTGCGTTTTCCTCTGACTACGCCCTCTACACTGGACTAAAAGATTTCGTTTTTTTTCCAAACATTCTATCTCAGTTGGCGCAATGGGCTCGTGAGGAGGTTTTCAATCAGTATGGTAAAAACATGCTCCAGAAAACATCACATACCCCACCTTTAACCTGGAATACCTCCAAGCTAATGAATAAAGTTAGCCTTGAACTTCTCTGACCTATTGGCTAAAGCTAACCTGGAATGCCTCCAGGCTAATTGTTAAAAACAGCATGAAATACCTCCAAGCTAATGGCTAAGGTTAGCATGGAATACCTTGAAGCTAATAGCTAAAGTTAACCTGGAATACCTCCAAGCTAATGGCTAAAATTAACCTGGAATGGCTGCAAGCTAATGGTAAAGTTAGCATGGAATGCCACCAAACTAATAGCTATATTTAACCTGGAATACATCCAAGCTAATGACTAAAGCTAGCCTGGAATTTAAGGTCAATGAGAAGAACATTTTATATCACTAAAGCCATAATTATTGCCTATAATAAATCAAGGCTGTGTGACCAAAGCAGCTAATTTTAACAGTTAAACAAAACTGCATTAAATGAGCTGTAATTGATACAACTCTGTTAAATGAATCATTTTCATGTACTGATTCTATTGATTGAATTCACTCAAAGGAACTGCTGTTCCCATCACTATGGGATAAGATGGATTCCTGTGTGTTTGTAAATGGGTAGCAAACATTCCCATCATGGTTCTATCAGCCAGAGATATTTGGAGGCTAACAGTCCTCTGATTTATTTGGGTTTTGCAAAAGAAATCAGTGTTTTTGATGAGGGTCTTATTCTAGCTCTCTAGATCGCCCTCAAAGCTGATGAAGCCTTTAAATCTTCATCATGCTTTTCTTAAATTGATAATAATCTTAGTAGCCTATATGTAGCTTTGACCTTTAAAAATGGGAATCTTGGTTCTTAAAAAAAAAGTTCTTATTATACTGGCATTGAAATAGAAATAACTTTTGTGTTCCTAACGTTCTAATTCCAAAAACGAGGGACAGCAGAGAGCCCAGGGAAGGTCAAGCCTTGACATGTCCCTGCCGCGCCCTTTGACCTCTGTATTCCCAACCTTTTTTATTAACTGTGTAGCTCTGTTAGATCAATGCCTTTCAACTATCCTGCAATAACATGGCCTTCATCTCAGGGGTCAAAGGTTACCCCGCTTATATGGATGGCTTCAGTGACTTTAGGAAATCCCAAATTTGTTCTTGACATTGTCCAGGAAACTATCCCTAAAGGCTCCTTATGACTGATAGTCAGTAAATAAAGGACGCCCCGATCGACAGCCGGAATCTGACGGCAGGTTTGTTTGGCTGTGCGCTTTTTTATGATGATTCATTATCCATAGACAGGAATGACTTCAAACGCTGCGCTGCAGGAAAGATGACGCAGAGCTAATTTGATTGACTCTGTGTTGTCTTGTCTCAGCAAAAAGTGATGTATGGAAAAATGTTTTCCCTTCATTTGCCAAAATATTTGGAAGAATTCAGGGTAATGACTCTGTTCATGAAATGAGAGTTAAACCATAATAATCATTCAGGTCGACCGCACAGTAAGAAAAAAAAAGATCCACATGGGTCTGGGACAGAGACTGCTGCTGTAAAGACTTAGAGAAAACTCTGAGGTAATTATGTACATCACTGCTTGCCATATCATCCATATCCACCCATATATCGCTATAATTTTT